AGACATCTGTCATGCCTTAGCTGTCATGATCTTTACATGTTTCTTGAAGCTCAGTTTTCTATCTAGTCAGATTTCTAGATATCTTATGAAGCTTTTCACTGCATTTGCTGTAATAGAGTGAGTGTCAGATGTTGTTTCAAAGTCAATTGAGAGGTTTGAATGAATTCTGCACTGTGTGAAGTGTGCTATCTCAGTTTTGACAAAATCAAATGTTAGCTCTTCTTTGCTGACTCAATCATTTAGCAACTTGAAATTCTTCTGAAGAGTAACAACATTTTCTTCAAGAGTGGTTTCAGCACTAAGCAGTTCTAAATCATCTGCATAGTCTGAGTATACACATCTTCTTTGTATAGTTTCTAGAAAGAACAGAGGCTGAATAAACAGCATGAATAGAATAGATGAAACTGGCAAGTCTTGTGGAAGCTCTGCTGAGATATCAAAAAGCTCTTCCAGAAGTCCATTCAATCTGATTCTGTCTGTGCATTCTGTCATGAAGCTTTTCACCCATCTAATTAAATTTGATGGCCAGTCTTATTCTTGCAATCTCTGCAGCATTCTTCCTCTGAGTACAGCATCAAAAGCATTTTTGATGTTCAGAGTAAGAAGAGAGACTACTTTTCCATAAGCTCAGGCTTTCTCTATATCATGAATCATCACTGCCACTAGGTCTGAGGCAGTCTGCCCAGAGAGGGCTTCAAAATGCTGAGAGTGGACAATCTTCTCTTGTATAGCTGTTCAGACCAGTCTACAGACTACCAGGCATTTCAGTCCCTTCCTCAACATTGAGAGAAGAGCTATAAGTCTGTAGAATCATGAGAGTGTTGAATCTCTGTTGACCTTAGACAGCACAATCAGTGTGACATCTTGAAAGAAGATTGAATGCCAGTCAACTCTAAGACAGACTCTGAACAGCCTTCCCACTGATATCTTAATATGTGGTCATGTCTTTTGTAGCATCTCTGTTGGCACTCCATCAGTTTCTGAAGTGGTATTACCCGTGTTCAGCAGAGAACTTTGTATCTTATATGCTGAGACAACAGGAAATGATAATTTGACAGATGGTGGATTGGACCAGCTAACTGAGATATCCTCTCTGCTTGCAGCCTTCTGTAAGAGCATCTGTTACAGAAGGTCTCTTTTCTCTCTAGAGGTTGTTCACATTAGCCTAGTCTCTTCATCTACAAAAGGTGGGGAATGAAAGGAGCCAGTTGAATGAACCCATTTGATCATCTTAAAGATATCTTTCCCCACTGAGGCTTCTGCTATCTTGTCTCACCAGTATTCTCTCTTGGCTTTTCTGATGATTCTGACTACATTGCTTTTTGCTTCTTGTAAAAAACTAGAGTCTAGATGCTGTGCATGATGTAGTGTTGTCACTGCTTTCTAGCAGTTCTCATTCCATCATGACTGATCTGTGTCTTGTCTGATGCTCTTCTTGATGAAACTTTTCAGAAAAGCTATTAGTGCATCTGTGATATCTTTAGTCAGGGCATTCAGCTGATCTGTATTGAGATACTCTGAGATATCACATAGTTTGTCTAGTTTTGACTTATAGACCTCCAGTATCTGATTAAAAACCTTCTCATTCATGATGTCAAGATGGAAAAAATGAGGTAGTCTGTTGGGCCTTGCACTCTGTGAAAGGCTGATTTTGATGAGAAGAGTCTGATGGTCAGAGAAGGTGTAAAGAGATCTGTCCATCTGTGTGTTCACTTCTTTGATAACTAATTCTGAGGTGGCCCAGGCCAGGTCTATCATGTTATGCCCATATGTGGGGGTGTCTGGGTCCATGGTGAGAGTAAAGTTGAAATTCATGATTCATTGCAGGAATGGTTCTGCCCACTTGCTTGAAGGCACTCCTGGTTGCCACATGAGGTGCTTGATATTGAGGTCACCAGCAAGAAGCAATGAGAGTGCTGGGACAGATCAGAAGAGAAGACAGCTCACATCTTGTTCAGAATTCTCTGCATCTGAAGGTGCATTGTATATGTTGACTGTCTGAAGCTGTAGATCCCAGATCTGTATGTGCAGCATATGAATGTCCTGGTTTTCTGCCCAGAGGCCTGGGACTGCATGAGCATGGATTTGTGAGTGTTTACACACATAGATGAGGATCTGTGACTTTCTGTCCCACTTTTCAATTGAGGCAAAGCAGTTGAATGCTGGATGCTTTTTGAAGATGCATTGACTTAAGTTTCTGTGAATTCAGAATTTCTGTATGAGAAGAATGTCAGTCTTTCTTTCAAACATTAGATTGAGAGTCATCTCATGTGCTGAGCTCTCTTTTTCTACATTGACTTGCATAATCTGCAGGAATTGTGGAGACCTAGAGTTCTTCTTCATTGAGTAGCTGAAAGAAGAATGTTGTTGCATGAGATGACATGTTGAGTGTTGCATTAGATGTTGAGTTGGGCATCATGTCTAATGCTGTGTCTGATGCTGTGCTCAATGCTGTGCTTGATGCTGTGTTTGATGTCAGTGTGAGATTAGATCTACACTCAGTAGAATCATTCAACCTCAGGTCTGCTGATGGACCTCAATCACTGCATTTGCTATTACTTGTCTTGATCAAGTATGTCTTACTCTGTGCATTGTGGATATTTCTCAGCTGATTTCTTGAGTGTTTTTGAACAGTTTTATTCTTTATCTCTGGTCTGACAGAGCAGGATAGATCATCCACAGCATGTGGTTCAAGACAGTTAGTGCAGCAATTAGGGCATCCACATGCTTCATTCTTCTTATGACAGAATGAATTTTCTTTCACATAATTCTTAGAACTGCATTTTTTGCAGTGAGGAATGTGAAGGCAGTATCTCTTTTGATGAAATTCTCAGCATTTGCTGCATTGTTGTATTTTGATCTTAGATGCCTTTCTGATCACTGGTCTTTGATATTCATATAATTTCACTTTTGATGACAGATTTACTGCTGTCTCTTGCAAAAAGTGTAATATAAGAATGACTGTTGAGTTTTCAGAATGTATTTTTGCCCAGTGACTCTGAACAGACTTGATTCTGATTTGAAGTGTGAATTCTTCTGTCATGAATTCTGCTGAGAGATGCAGAGTTCCACCACTATAGTCACTAATCTCCATAAGCAGCTCAGGAATCAGACAGATGATTCAATGTTCTTCCTTCTCTATCTGAGCATTGGTGAGAGTGACTGCTAAAACATTCTTTTGAGCTAGCAAGGCCTTCATGTCTTGCAAGCTTCTAGAAATGATGACAATGCCTGTGGGGATGGCTTGAACTGCTGTGATGGCTGCTGTCAAAGACCCTGGAAGTTCAGCCTTCAGCTTTCTAAGAGTAGCAATTGAGCTTGCTTTGCAAGCTAGATGATCTGAAGGCAGGCATGTGAGGATACATGGTGTTTTTCCTTCTCTGGGGTTATTCCTAAGCAGGGGTTTCTGCAGTATGGTTGCTGGTGTTTTTGTTACATTGGTGCTGTCTGCAGCTGTCTTTGTGTAGGTAGGAGCTCTTGCATCATTTGCACCAGTGGAGCCAGCAGGCTTGATTGTGGTGGACTGCTTAGCTGTTTCTAGACTTCCATTGTACCAGTCCTTGACTAACACCTTCACGGTGGCTCCAAGGGCCAGTGCCCTTGATAGGCCTTTTGCCTTCATGACATCTAGGTCTTCTTCAATCTGATCAAGCATATTTGCAGCAGCTAGTGCTTCTGCATGGGATTTCTGTGCCTCAGCCTCGTGGGTGGCTAGGAGATTGCTAGCCATCGGGCCATGTAGGTTGAGACGTATTGGTGCGACATTTCTGCTCTTTGAGCTGCCTGCTGGTGTAGGGGAGCTTGGAGGCTCCATGTCATTCAGTTCACATGTGCGGCGGGCGATTGGGGTGAGGAGATGGGGTCTCTTGGGTGGACGGCGTATGGGGGAGCAGATGCGCGTCAAGGCTCAGGACGCGTTCGGTGTTGTTGGGGGGCTGGGCGCGCTGGCGGCGCTGCGTCGGCACGCCATCAGGCTTGCTGCCTGAGGGGATGGGAGAGAGCTTATAAGGATGTGATCAGGATTGATTAAGACGTTTTTGATAACTGTTATTATTGTTTTGCGGGCGTTGGATGAAAGGGGGTGCTGGGGCCTGCGTGGATTATAACCACCCGCACGGTCGCGTGGTCACGTGATGTGGATTAGGCCTAATCGGTTGCCGAGCTTAATCCGACGTCGAGTCCAACCGGGCACCGGCCTTCGGTCGGGCTCGGTCGGACGCTGAGCCTAACATCTGTCAGCTCAAGGAGGAATCATGAATCGGTGGATCTAAATGACCAATTATCATTCATAAAAACTTTGATGAGATCTTATTGGCTACTGAATGGCGCCAGTGCAAAATTCCATTCGCTAATTGAAATCACACTAATTGAGCAAGAACTTACAGACGAGGGGATAGATAGGCATGGTGGTGACCATTAATTAATTTTTGAAGATTGGTGATCCTAAAATATTTCCTTTATGGTGATGTTTCCTTTACAGTAGGGCACACTCACTAATGGGAGGTAGTGAGTGTGTGTGGCACAGTTACAACTTAATGCTACATCTATAACTACAAGTATTACAACCATTACAACTATTGCACTGCGACAGTATCCTCGAGAATTACAACAATAAAAAAATAATGATATAAAGAAAATGTTTTCCCATTCCATCCATTACTCAATTCAGAAAACGCCTCTCCGTTCTAATAGGTAATAACTATGCAAGAGACCAGCTCAGCACTCCCCCACGGAACAAACCCTCTCATAATGTACAATCCAATGGAGTAAATAAGTAAAAATAATAATAATAATAATAATAATAAAATAACAACGGAGACTTTGAAAAAAGAGTGAGTATGTATATATAATATCGAAAGGGGAAAAATTAAATAAAGTAAAACCACAAATAGTGGGAAAAACAGCTGCCATCGGGATGGAATATGGATGGGATATCAAACAGATTATTCATCTATCGGAATCTCCCGTTCCACTCCAATAACCACATCATCCACATCATCCTATTCCAAATCAGTCGTCCACTCCTTTCCAGACTGTTTTTGGCTGCTAGAGGTCTTGGTCAGGGCCGCTTTACGCTTATCCGCACTGTAACCACCTGCTGCTGCACTTATTAAAGTCTTCCCCCCACCAGCCCGTTTAAAGAAATCTTCCGTACGCAACCCGCGGACTTCATCAGGGTTAACTGTCTCCATTGTAATTCCCGAGTCTCGTTTTGATCGTATCAACTCCCGGATAGGTACCATGGCAGCATCCCTACAAGCCTCTTTCATATCACTGCCAGACATCCCAGACATGGCCTTGACGAGGAAATCCAAATCGAAGTTCTCCCGGTCAATCTTTGTATCCTTTAATATAAGTCCCAGTATCCGTAATCGCTGCGCAGTGGGCGGTAAAGTAACAGGGAATTTCTTCGGCATGCGTCTGAGAATCGCCTCGTCGATGTCCTGGATCCGATTCGTGGCGCCCAGTATAAGAACGCGCTGCGGTTGGCCAGATGTATTTGCCGAGGTCAGCCCGTCCCAATGCGTCATGAACTCGGCCTTGACCATGCCGCTAGCCTCATGCTCGCCGCTCCGCCGAGTCCCTAGCACCGCATCGATCTCGTCGATGAAAACTATGCTGGGCTCCAGTTTTCGTGCGAGAGAAAATACTGCGTTGACCAGCTTGTTCGAGTCGCCGTACCATTTCTCTGTTAGAGTTGAGATGTGAAGGTTTATAAAGCACGCGCCGCTCTCGTGGGCGAGAGCCTTTGCCAGCATCGTCTTGCCACAGCCCGGTGGGCCGTAGAGAAGCACACCGGAAGGTGCACTTAGGAGTGAGGATGTGGAGGAATACAACTGTGGCATAGTTAAGGGGTATATGACGGACTCCTTCAATTCTTCAATGATATCTTCCAGCCCACCAATGTCGTTAAATGACACGGGGATGTCCTCCGGTGCCACCACGTCCATTGCGATGGCCTGCTCATAATGAGACAGCACGAGATCTTCTTTCTTCTGTCTTCGTGGACGACCCCTCCGGCTCTGGGATTCGTCATCTGAATCTTTGGGTGTATTGAGGCGTCGCAATATGGCCGCAGATCTCCGCTTTGCTTCCTCATGCTTCTGGCTTTCGGGATCAAACTCGACTTTGGAGAGGAGGAATCGGACTACGAAATATGTGGAGAGGGACTAACACATATATGTCAGCAAGGATGGCCGCAAGTGTGAAGGTTATCCGCTGTGGCTATTCAGAGGATTCTTTACTGTGCCAGCAATCATTATCAGCTCCTGCAGCAACTGTTGCCATTTGCGTCCGCCGCCCGAAGCCATGGCGGCAGTGAGTGGGATTGCAGCCTCAAGCTCTGTACGGGGTAGAAAGGTCCAAGTAGGTGTGTCCGCTATAAGCAAGCCTGGCGAAACCCGTTCCTGTGCTAGTCTGATTAAAATAAAATCCCCGTGTTTAAATAAATACTTCCAGCTTTAAGGGATATAAATTGTTCTCCTGTGTTAAAGAATTTATTTAATGTTTCTTGTTCGTTTGGTTCCAAAAAGAACTTGCGCCAGCCGAGGATCTAAGTCACATGTTCTTGGCTCACCAAACGAAACCCAACGCGTTTCGAGTTTGGTTTACGCCCACTTGAATGAACAATCACTCTTACTAGAACTGAAAATAGGGCTGCTTGATGTCATTGCTGCTACGGTGGGGTATTGCCGCTGTATATTGCGCGGATACGGATTTACCTTAGCTATGCCAAAGCGAAAAGCTGCGTCGAAATTGTCCAAGTTGGTGGATGACGACTTGGACGATGACTTGTTGATGGACGTTGGTGCAGACCACACCCCCGACGAAGACCCAGATACCGCCCCGCCGCCCGCGAAAAAGGTAAAGGGAAGACCAAGAAGCACTGCGCCCAAAAATGCAATGACACGTATAACCACGTTGCCTAATCCTGCTTCACCCAAAGCTCGATCTACGGTTGTCGTGGGACCTAAAAAACGCGGTCCTGCGAAAGTTTCGGCTGCGAGAGGCCACGCAGTTGAACAAATTGAGGAGGCACAGGAGCCCGCAGATACAAGTTTGTCAAAAGAAGATGATGTACAAGAGGAGGAGCATGAGCATGCAGATGTGGACCAAGAACCGGTCGTTGAAGATGAACATGAACAAGGATCGAACGACGAGCTCGATTCTCCCAAAACAACGACGCCCGGTATTCGACAAAGTGGTAATCAGGCAAAGACTAGGGCGAAGCAGCGAAAGGCGCCTGCGAAGCGAGTGACTCTAGATGACGGCTTTCAGTATACTCCTTTAGGGTCGCGTCAAACTAAACCCGCCAAAGCACCCCCGAAAGCGAAAGCTCCAATGAGACCTGCAGCGCGAAGACAGAAACCGCCAATTGAACCAGAGGTTGAGCCAGAGGTGGAAGAGGAAGAAGTAGAAGATGAATGGGAAGAAAGAGAAGAAGAACAAGAGAAGGTCGAAGATGAGGAGGAGGAGGTAGAGAAAACCGTCTTACTTGAGAAATATGATTCAACTGCACGCTCCGTATCGCGCTCTCCTACCAAAAGCTTCTGGAGAAGCCACATACAATCCAAACCTCCACAGACAGCAATCCAACAGCGCAAAGTTGGAAGCACATCGGATGGAGAAAAGGGCGAGAACGACGCAACGCTACGAAGAAAGCTTGGGGATATGACCAAAAAGTACGAAAACATGGACATGAAGTATCGAAATCTCCGAGAAGTCGGAATTCTCGAAGCCAATGCCAACGTGGAAAAGCTACGGAAACAATGCGAAGCAAACACCGCAGCATCCAACGAATTAATCGCCTCGTTAAAGAAGGAATTGGCCATGCAAACCTCTCTAGCCAAAGAATCCCGCGCCCTTCAAAAGCAACTGCAGGATCGGGATGACGAGGTAGTGGAGCTGGGGACGAAGATCAAGCAAATGGGCACCAGCTTAACGAGCGCTCAGAATGAAGTGAAGGCTCTTCGGATGAAGCTGGCTGCTTCTCGAACTGCAGCGACCAATGTGGAATGTGTCAATTCCCTGGGTGCTGGAAGTGCTACTAAAAACGGTGGCGGTGTCTTGCGAACTCTCATGGTGGGAAGTGCTGAAGCGGCCCAGGCAGCGCAAATAGCGCAGCTGAAGGAGGATCTCTATAGTGATCTCACCGGCCTGATTATTCGTGATGCAAAGAAGAGAGAGTCGGATCACCTGTATGACTGTATACAGACGGGAATCAATGGAAGTAAGTTTGGACTTCCCCGTCCTACAGCTACCATCCTCTACTTTCTTGTATCTGAATCTAACACGATATTTCTTTCCTTTCTCTCATTTCTCTTTAAGCAGCATTACACTTCAAACTCGCTGTTGCGCATGACGTGGAGAACACGAGCTTTGAAGCTGCAGAATTCCATTATTTCCCCCTTCTCGACCCAAACCGTGATCGCGATCTAGTCGATATTCTCCCCGAATATCTTTCTATAGATATTACGTTCCCGCGACAGCATGCGTCTGTGTTTTATAGTCGTGTTGTGGATACTCTGACGAAGAAGATACGACGAGCGGAAGATTGAACGGGGATGTTCGTGATGTTTTTCGTTTATGGGGTTGCTGCATCCACCCCCCCTCCCCCCAACACCATGATGCAGGATATTTACATCCACCCATTCTCGAGTGAGATTGATTCGGATATGACACTTTGTATATCCAAGGAGGATTCGAACTAATTTAATTTTACTTTGAGCGGCTGCGTTGGTGGAATGTTGTTGGCGTCAGTTGTATGTATTTATTGTATTTTTTTATTAAGATATTATTTTTGATTGATTATTTTTTATTTACATTCAAAGTTATATTTTACAATATAATATCACACGCACTACCCTTGAATAGCGGAGGTGCCCTTCAAGATAGCTTCATGATTCTGAGCTTTCCACTGGAGGCATTATTACCAGAATAATTCATCACAGGGGGTTGTCATTGACTAGGAGAAAATATCTCGACGAACAAGGTGAACACAAAAGAGACAAACCCTGAAGTCAATGGGGATCATGTTAAAAGGGTCTCTGGAATGATGTTCGAATATCAATGAATATTATAGATACTGTTAAACTCCAGTGGCTAACCTATCGGGTATACTGCCACCGTAAATTGAAAAAGGGTATCAATTCGTCGGTGGCCAAATTCACAGCGTTGCTATATATATGGGGGTCTATGTAACCCTAGCTGTAGAAGGCGGATGAGAATTGTATAGGGCAGCGGGAAGTGGAGGCAGGGGGTATTTAGGTGCATTGTACCAAATGTCAGCAGATTCCCAACTTCTTCGGATTTGAAACCATTATAGCAGGTGAATATAAGATATGGATATGGGATATGGGTTTTCTCCGTACTCTACAGCCCCTTGCTGCCCTTTATTTAGTTACAAGTTGCCCCTGACTGGTAACGTAATCAATAAGCGAGTCGGCCACATAAGCAAGTCAGCCACTTTTCATCTCATCTCAGAACAACATCTTTATCATCAAAAATGCCAACCACACAAAGAAATAAAGCCTTTACTCAGGAAGGAAGGCTTCTTTTAGCCATTCAAGCATTTAAAAATGGTCAAATTTCAAGTGTATGAGCTGCAGCAAAGCTGTATGATGTTCCACATTCCATCTTAGGTGATCAGGTACATGGTCATACAGCATGCGTTAACACTCCTCCAAAGAACTGGAAACTTAGTCTTACAGAGGAAGAATCTCTTGTTCAATGAATTCTGGCCATGGATGAGTGAGGTGTGCCACCCCAGGTTGCAGCTGTATGAGAAATGGCCAATCTCCTCCTTACCAGTCAGGGATTCAACCCCCCACCCACAGTGGGTGAATGCTGGGTATGAAAATTTGCCAAACATCATGAAGAGCTGAAATTCAAGTTCTCCTGCAAGTATGACCATCAACATGCACTATGTGAGAATCCTGAGATTATCTGTGGGTGGTTTAGGCTTGTACAAAACACCATTGCAAAGTATGGAATTCTGAAAGATGATATCTACAACTTTGATGAGACTGGATTTCAGATGGGGGTTATTGAGACTGCCAGAGTGGTTACTGGGTCTGAAAGAGCCAGGAATCTCAAGCTTGTACAGTCTGAAGATCAGGAATGAGTGACTGTCATTGCTGGAGTCAATGTCTCTGACTGAGCTCTGCATACAATGATTATTCTCAAGAAAAAGATGCATCAGTCCTGTTGATATGAGACTGAGGGACTGCTCAGAGATTGAGTGATTGAAGTCAGTGAAAATGACTGGACAAATGACCAGCTGAGCTTGTACTGGCTGAAAGAGATGTTCAACAAGGAGACTCTACTCTGTATGAAGAGTACACACTGACTGTTGATTCTGGACTGGCATAGAAGTCATGCCTCTGCTGAATTTGATCAATTCTGCTCTGAGAATCAGATCATTGCTCTCTATATGTCATCTCATTCCTCTCATCTTCTCCAGCCATTGGATGTTGACTGCTTCTCCTCTCTGAAAACAGCATATGGATGACAGATGGAGAATCAGATGCAGCTTGGAATCAATCATATTGACAAAGAGAAGTTTCTGGCCCTGTATCCTGCGGCTCAGATGCAGGCCCTGACTGAGAACAACATCAAGAGTGGCATCAGGGCAGCTGGATTGGTTCTGTATGACCCTGAGCAGGTTCTCTCACATCTTAATACAACAATGCATACCCCCACCCCCCCCTGGGACCTCCCACAGCTCCCAGGCCTCCTGGGCCACCGCCACACCACATAATGTATGTCAATTGGAACAGCAGACTGAGAAGATCAAAAAATATATCAAGTGCTGTACACAGAGTCCACCCAGTCCAAGCAATCAAGCCCTGAGTCAGCTGGTCAAGGGGTGTCAAATGGCAATGCACAGTGCTGCTATTCTAGCAGCTGAAAACAGAGAGTTAAAAGCTGCAAATGCCAAACAAAAGAAGAAGTGGGAAAGAGGCTGTGCATATGTAGCTCAAGAGAGTGCTTTAAGGATTGAAGAAGGCTTGGATTGCATATGAAGCATCAATGAATGGAAAAGAGAGGTGATTGAGGCTGCTGAGTCCTGACCACAAAAACAGACAGCACCACAGTGTAGTGTATGTGGGATTACTGGGCATACTGCTTGTACGTGCTCTAGGCATATAGAAAATAATTGATAATATAATTCTTTCTCTTTTTCTTTATGATTGAGGCATAGATGCATTCTCATCGTACAGTGGGGTGAGAAGTGGCCGACTTGCTTATGTGGCCGACTTGCTTATTGATTACGTTAGGTCTGCTGCTTATATAATCGCCTATATGGTGGTGCCCAAAACTGGTATTAACTTCTTCATCCTCCAAATCCAACTTGAGCAGGAGTGGATTTAAAACCAGCTCCAAGCTACAACGACAATGAATCGATAGCAGGCTGTAGCTGTATTTTATCCCACTGGTCTTCTGGACCCCCTCCATTCCTTTCCGCATAGATACAGCCAAACCTTAGGAACAGCTGTTCCCTTCTATAGACTCTTGCTCCTTCAATCAGCAAATCCCACTTCCAGCCATGGCTCGATTAGGGCGCATCGGGTTTCTGGCCCTGGCCATTGTATTTCATACAATATACACCTACTCGATATTTGATATCTACTTCGTCAGCCCGATCGTCAGTGGAATGCGTGAATTCGGCGTGCAGAGACCTCCCTCTGCAAAAGCACCGGCAAAGCGACTTTTTCTCTTTGTTGGAGACGGTCTACGCGCGGACAAGGCTTTCCAATCATTCCCGGACCCATCTCCTGGAGGCGTGCTAGATGATGATTATGCCAATCCCAACGGTCCCGCGACACTCCGCACCCCTAAACATCTTGCGCCGTTTATTCGCTCTCGCGTTCTCTCCCATGGCACTTTCGGCGTGTCGCATACTCGGGTACCCACGGAGTCCAGGCCGGGCCATGTTGCGCTTATTGCTGGTTTGTACGAAGATGTCTCCTCGGTGACGACGGGATGGAAGCTCAACCCAGTTAATTTCGACAGCGTTTTTAATCGTAGCAGACATACCTGGAGCTGGGGGAGTCCGGATATCTTACCTATGTTCAAGGAAGGCGCAACACCTGGGAGGGTCGATGCGGAATCCTATGGCGAGGAGGTGGAGGATTTTAGCAGGGATAGCACGCAGCTGGATATTTGGGTTTTTGACAAGGTGAAGGCACTATTCGCTGCGGCGAAGGAGGATCCGGAGCTCGATGCGCGGCTACGAGAGGATAAACTTGTGTTTTTCCTGCATTTGCTAGGCTTGGATACGGCGGGACATTCTTATCGGCCTTACTCGAAGGAATACTTGCATAATATTAAGATTGTCGATCAAGGGGTGCAGGAAATTACGGAGCTGGTCGAGGAATTTTACGGTGACAATGAGTCAGCGTTTGTTTTCACAGCTGATCATGGCATGAGCGATTGGGGGAGCCATGGGGATGGACACCCTGATAATACACGAACTCCCCTGGTTGTATGGGGCTCTGGTGTTGCCAAACCGAAGATCCAGAAAAGTGGGAAGGCCCCTGGGCATGAGGATGGATTCTCGTCTGACTGGAACCTGGACAATGTTCAAAGACATGATGTTTCTCAGGCTGATATCGCTGCTCTTATGGCGTATTTGGCTGGTTTGGATTTCCCCGTGAATTCTGTCGGAGAACTCCCTCTTTCCTACCTTGACGCCTCACCTAAAGAAAAGGCCTTGGCAGCTCTTGCAAACATGCAAGGAGTTCTGGAGATGTATCGGGTCAAAGAGGAGAAAAAACGGATATCGACTCTGGGGTTCCAGCCGTACAAACCTTTCGGGGATAATGAGCATTCTGTTGAAGCACGAATCCTCGAAATTAACAAGCTAATATCCAAAGGAAGATACGATGACGCGATTAAGAAATCCTCCGAGCTGTTGCATACTGGTCTAGAAGGTCTACGATATCTACAGACCTACGACTGGCTCTTTCTAAGGACGATTGTCACCGCAGGGTATCTGGGATGGATTGCATATGCCTTGACTACCGTCATAGATCTCCACGTTCTGCATGAATCCTCGGTTCCAAATCGTACAACGTTCAGTACGATGTTCTTTTCGTCTTTACTTGTTATCTTGTTCTCCGTCTTCTGGATTCAGAAGTCGTCGTGGAGATATTACACATATGGTATTTTCCCCGTCTTCTTCTGGGAGGAAGTTATAGCAAGTCGAAATGCGCTGGCCGCCGGACGGAAAATACTTCTTAGTCATGTTAAGTCACTGGGTGGCTACATATCTTTTGGTTTACAGATATTGGTCTACGTTGGGGTCTTGGAAGCCCTTGTGAGTATTCCGTCGCCCGTTTACCAAGTCATGGTATTGGAAATAACTAATTTTATAACAAAAAGGTTCAATCATACTTCCATCGTGAAATCTATACCATTTGCTTCATCCTTGCAGGACTGTGGCCTCTTTTCTACGGTATAGGCTTCGTATCGTGCAATAAACTCGTCATGGTCACATGGAGCATTGGATGTTGGTTAATGAGCATTTTCACGCTTTTACCCGTTATCAAGGTGGAGAATGCAACGACGATGTGAGTATCCAACTACTTCTGATGTGTTTCATGGAAGAAATAGCGGAATGCACATTCTTACAGGTCGTACAGAACAATTGGAGGTGTCCTTATGGTCCTTATTGGACTACTCTATCTAGCATTTGAGAAATCAATCACCCCTCGATCTAAACCCGTATCAAATGCAGTCAGCAACGGTTCCCGACAAATCATGGGGATGCAGGTATGTTTGCCATCCACAATGCTTTCTTCAAGAACCATTTTCTGAGTTGTACTAATACCTAAGCGAATATAAATTAGATTGGCATGATTCTGCTGGCAATAATAGTGACTCGATCTAGTATCGTGTCACTGAAGGCAAAACAAGGTTTGCCTTGGGGAAACCAAACCGTTGGATGGTTGGTTTTAGGTTAGTTTTATCCAACTCCTACCGATTTCACATATACTGCTCAGCATAAGCTTCATTCATTCCTATATATCCTAGAATATTCAGGCTAACTTTTGCAGTGGCTTCTTTTGCGCTACCGTTCTTTCATAGATTATATCCAAATGGCTATTACCTCCATCGCCTCGTCGTGATTTTCCTCTCCTTCTCCCCGACGTTCATCATTCTCACCATCTCGTACGAGGGACTCTTCTACTTTGTCTTCTGCATTACCCTCGTTAGTTGGGTTCAGCTGGAACATCGCATATACACATTTACATCTCCCCAATCAAAGTCAACCTCATCAAAGGGGCACCAAGTTACCAAACACCCTTACCGCATCCTAACAATAGCAGACGCTCGCATCGCCCTCTTCTTCTTCTTCCTTCTCCAATCAGCCTTCTTCTCCACTGGCAACATCGCCTCGATCTCCTCCTTTTCCCTCGAAAGTGTCTGCAGACTAATCCCCGTCTTCAACCCCTTTTCCCAGGGTGCGCTACTAATCCTTAAAATCACCATCCCATTCGCCATCATCAGCGCAAACCTGGGAATTCTTAACCGGCGCCTATGCGTCGCACCATCCGCCCTCTTCATGATCGTCATGTCCATCAGTGACGTCATGACTCTAAATTTCTTTTACATGGTGCGCGACGAGGGGAGTTGGCTTGACATTGGCATGACCATAAGCCACTTCTGCATAGCTAGTGGATTGTGCACGTTCGTTGCTGGGCTGGAATTTCTCAGTGAAACGTTCATAGCCGGAATTGAGTTTGAAGATACTGATGTCGCCAGTAAGGATAGAAAAGGATATTTATCTCCAGGAACGGATAAGGTGCGGAAACCCGCTGCGGAGTCCAATGGCACTAATGGTCTATCTTCTTATGAGCGGGATGGGAAACCTAGTGTTACGGAGAAAGCGAATGGACATACTACTAACGGCGTTTCGAAATCTTCCTTCAGAGCATCTAAAAGTCATTAAGAACTTTCCTTTATCTTGTCGCCTTTGGCTCCAAAATTCTTTCTTGTGGGGGATATTCGCAATATTCTGGAATGACGCCCCACAAAGGAAATATAGGCACAGGCCGCTGTTGCGATTGCCATTACTGCACGTCCGTTCCTCTTTTACGTCGCCCCGCACTGCACCGGCGTTTCTTCCTGGTTAGTTGATTACACTTTTCTTTACAGAATACAAGGGCAAATAGAGGGGGAATTTGGTTGAATATAACACTTTTTTTTGGTATTGCTATTTTATGCTCTTCATAATATCTATTTTTGCTGTGCGTGGTTTCCTTCGCTTAGTTTTGCCCCTGCACTACCCTCGGGGCCTTGTTCTTCACTTCTTGTGTACCAAAATTTCATATATCCTTTTTGTTCTGAGCTTTTCTACATGTTGGATATCGATCAAGAGAGATGCCACTGGTTGACTTTAAATACCCTTCCAGTTGAAAGTTCATTATCAATTGATTCAGTTCCAATCTCTGTTCTCAACCATTCATGACCAATAACCTATCCCATCCATGCTCCAGTGGATATCAATTCTTTTCTACCCGTATATATCATATCACGAAACTTGAATTCCGAACCTCCTCTTCTCTCTTTTATCCCGAAGCAACACCCCTGCCTCAGCTAATAAACGGAATATGATTTAAGTCATTTTTCTTTTCTCTTGTTACCTTGTCATGGATGTCTATTACACCTTCTTTTTACCGACAGGGAGTTAAAGAGGGGATGCGATTTTTTGTGGGGACAGCGGCCTAGACAAAGGCGTGGACATCTCATGTGGCCACCACGAGAACCTCTACGTGGACACTTGCACCGGTGCATATGCTTTTCCTCTCTTCATAGGCTGGAACGAGTCAGGAACTATTTTGAGCAGGGATGTAGAGATGTCTGGGGCCTCCTTGCTCTCCTAGTCCTGCATGTACATATGCAGATCGAATCTGGTCCTTTCGAGGGAAGAAGGATAAGGGGGGGGAATATTTTAGGATGATTAACAATCCAGCTCCTTCGTCAAAAGGACGACCCCCCAACACGTTTACGATTTGTTGAAAACCATCCCTCGCGAGGTGAAGGGCCCAGATACCATTCCTTGCCTTAAGAAACAAAAATACCTTGAATGGCTAGATATATCATGATAAGCTCATTGATTCTTCAATCCACCAGAAGAGGGAAATTTTCTGTCACCGTTCAGGAACAGTTATCGAGATTTCTTGAAAGAAGCGAACGTCGGAAGCGAACGTCAGAGGTCTGAACCAATAAGCAACGACAGAATTAAGGTCAGTCCCTGGTCATAAGGATACAACCAGGCTAACTCATCTTCGATAAACATCCGTTTTGAACTCTTGCGTCTTAATAACGCGTTTGCATCTGTCAACTTTTCAAAGTTGGCTTAGCGATCAGCTAAGCTTGGTCTGATATTTTACCTGATCAAGGTCCAGACTTGATACCCTGTCACTCACTCCGTAACATGTGACATGTGAATGAAAATGTTATGCTACCATGCATCAATTCTTCCTTTTATTTTCGTTTATTTCTTTTCCATCTTTTCCACTTCTTTAGGTTCCCCTTTTAATCCCCCATGTCCTCGTATCGTCTGCGGTTCCAGGATTCTGAAAATCCTACCCAATTTCCTGCCCACCCATTTTCCTAGTTAGGTGGTCGGTCACTGTGGTCTCAGGTCGGACGGAGGGACACCCGATATAGCAGAAAGCAGCAGCAGTGAAACGAAGATATATGAAGTAGTTACACGTGTTCTTTAGAAGCATGGGAACCCGATCCAAGATCCCGCTCCCGTTTGTGCTCGTGCTCTGTCACGCTCAACCATCCTGCATCTATTAGAGATGTCCAACGGCCTCCAATCCAAAAGTATGAAAGTTATCGATCGCAAAGCTTGCATCATACAGTTATGTACCGTGTGTATGCATGTCCAGGAGAATCCACGGATGCGTCCCATCCCTTGACGACCTTCCCGCCACGTTTACCGTTTCCCCATATCCGATCCCCGTTTGTTATCAACTTATCATATTTCCCCTGATTCTAGGCTTCCTTCATATCTGGAGGTTCATGTTTAGTTTGACAGCCCCGCACTCGCGCTACGGCATGAAGAGTTAACTACAAAAGAAAGATCGAAGAAAATATCTCGGGGCAGGATGCGCTCTTCGTTTCTTGGACTGAGAGCTTGTGTTGTTCAGTGCTATGGGATGTCGACTATAGACTCAAGAGAGTAGTTAGGTGCAGGAGAGGGCGATCGTTGAATGCTAGGGTTCGCAGGCCCCTGGCCCCTGGAATGGATGCAGCGAGTCCTCGAGTCCTCGATAGCTATCAATTAATTCAGTTGATATTCAGTTAACGACTTCGCACCTACGGGGTAGCTAGCTCAGGGTTGTTGTAACGCTGGCGTTGCCCTTTGCTGGCTCAACACCTAATGCTGTACCCCCGCCCCGCAACTACAACCTAGGAAAAGGGAACGGTCGGAACCGTATCTACTATGCATATTGCTAACTAATGAGTTGATGGTTTTTCTTCTTGAAGACTCTTAAGCGCCAATCCCATCCCAACACTGGGTTCCAAACCCGCCCTATGCAACCAACCACCGGCCCTCCTCTCGTTTTCCGAATGGCCAATGCGGCGGCAAGACCTCGGGTTGAGGAAATAGACGAGGTGGGGCAACCTTGTAAGCTTGATTGCCGAAAATTTTTCATAGACTCCAAGCACCATGATCCAGAGTTGCTAAACTAATTTTCGAGGAAGAGCACGGAGTTGTGAAACCAGAAGTCGACTGCGTCATCTATGATATCATACCGGGAAGTAGAAACTTTTCGAGGCAGAATCCCGGGTGGGACTCAGTACTATTACAGTCTGTGGATTTTTTGGCAGCTGTACTTTATCTTTCTGGAGTTGTTCTCCGCGTAGGTTTTTTTTTCATTTTTTTTCATTCATTTTCTTTCATTTTTTCCTTTTCTTTTTTCTTATTTCTTTTTTTGTGTCCTTAGAACATTTAACCAATGGGATAGATTCGGCGGCGGGAGACAGGTTGTGCCAGGAGGCAGCCGATCTTGTAACAGAGTAACATATATTTTTATTTTAGCCAAGCCCCTTCAGGTCAGTTCCTTCAGGCTACAAATTAGCTTGTTACGCTGGGATCGTGCGGGGAAATAATAGTTGTTCATAGTGGTTGGAAATCTCCCTGCCGTGGATTCATCTCAAAGAGGTTCATTTAGTCTCACCGCATCCTTGAAGCATAGTTAGATATTAGTTAACAAAGTAATTATTAGTCTCCTGTCCAGCATCAATCAGTATATTGTTGAAATTCTCACAATCCTCTCTCAGTTTAGATCCCTTGAAATTGTTTCGAGAAGCAGAGTCTCGGTAGTTACCTAAATACTTGTGCTGCGCGCCTGGGGTTTTATGGCTGCTGGTTACATCCCATGCCTATATACATGTATGTATGTATATATGCATGTATGTGCGTACAGTAACTACAGTGGGAGAGAAAGGTTTATTTTTGTGGCATGTTTCCTTTTTTATATTGTATTCTTTGTAACTCTGTACCTCCCCCAGATTCCTTGGGGAATATAACTATCATTGCAGTTCGCGTTGAACCAGAAGGATTCCGTTGAATGTCTGTGGCGGGGAATTTGCCCCGAATCGACTCTCCTAGGATTTTTTTCTCTTTCCTTTAATAGACTCGAATTCCCCGCCATGCGCACCGCAGGGATGGCAAAAAAGAAAAAGAAAAAGAAAAAGAAAAAAAGGGGGAAAAAAGGAAAAAGATAGAGAAATGAAAAGGCAAACATACTAGCTATTTGTCCAGCCTCATCCGGTTTTAAATGCCAGCCCGGTAAAAGGTCAAATCCCCTCCGCTTGCTATGTTTTATGTTTCTCTTTCAATACCGATGAGATCCCCGATTCAGTTACTATAGTTATCGTAGATAGATAGTAATCCTAATAAATCTGTCTGGTCTTAATTATTTAAGATCTGTGCCCTGTCAGGGACATACCAAGCAGCTAACTAGTGTAAGTTGTCTATTCGTTCAGTGGTTTTATCTTGTTATTATTATTCTCCGCATCTTCGAAAATCCTCCAGGATGTGAAGAATAAAGAAATTAAATCAAAATAAACACGTTAAAAAATCCCATCCACCCCCTAAAGAAAAAATTAAATAAAACACCCCACCGCTTTCATATTGTACACCTGTATATCTGTATATCTGTGTTCTGCTGGTTGGTTGGTCAATTGGGTGTCCCTTGCACCCGTTCTTTAAGTAATGTTGTTTAATCAGTCCCTCTCCCGCCCTCCTCCGACCAGACCAACATCACCGCCGTCACTTCGCCAACATCACCCATTTCCCTTCTCTTTTCTGTTTCTTCTTCGTCTTAAACTCTGCTCTTTATCTCCCCTCCATCTGCGCACCACCCACACACTCTCTTGATGGGCCAAACACCCAACAATGAGTAGCAACACCCCAGACAACAGATCTGACCAGGTCATGACTGGTGCACAAGACCCACCCCCAAACCTGACGCCCTCGTCAACCCCGGCCGTGGAATCCGATGTTCCATCACCCACAACCGCCACAGTTCCCAAGAAGACTGTGCCTTCAATGCAGACCCCAGGCCATCCCAGCTTCAGACGGTACGTGATCCATTTCCCAAAAAGCAAAAATGAGAATGTGTATTAGTTTTAAAAGTGTGTGTGTTGCTGTGGCTGGAGTTCGATGCGACCGGGTGGTCGGAAAATGCGCTGCGCAAAAATCATATACAAATTAACTGACAATCAAATGGGTGGAATATAGACAACGAGCATCGCGTGCCTGTGAGGTATGTTTCTTCGATTCCTTTTCCCTCTCTTATATATATATATATATATATACCTAGGCGTATACCTAGGTTTCTGTGTGTTATTCCAGCCCCATTGTCTAGCAAAGATGCGATAGAGCTGTCATTGGCATTCAGCCTCGGCACCTCGGTCTGGGGAGAG